CCACCCTAATCGTTATTATACTCGTAAAGTTGGATGCTAGCGACCAAGTCCGCATTTCGCAAACTACATGCATTGCAATTTTCTTTAGGATTGCACACTTGCATAACTGATTTGACGGACAATATGACAACGACCGAATGATTGGGCAAGTTCTTAGATTGCCATATATACATACATACTCATATCTCATATTAGAGTGCCCTAGGAGGAAGAGAGATTACGGGAGTTTTATGCGATCCTAAGATACCTCAGAAGCTCAAAGGTCAAGTGTACAAGAGCATTAACCGAACCGTACTTTTATATAGTAGTGAAGTGAACAAACTGCAGATCAGGATAGTAACAAGTTCTATCACAGGACACGGCAACTTTAACAAGCATTTATTTACTATAGGTGTTACAGATAGTCCCCTGTGCAGGGCATGTATGGGGGAAGAAGAAACGGCGGCCCACGTGTTATTGAAATGTCCGGAGGTCGCTACGTACAGGGCTAAACATCTCGGCACGCCGGGATCACTCCCCGAAGTTGCATGCAACATCAAAGGACTGTTGAGCTTCTTCGGAGAGATCTCATGGCTCGAATAATCATATTATTCCTGCCCACACGTAAAATACGCGCATAGACGTGGAGTTGCGGAAAACAGCCCGTCGTAAACTAAACTAAACTAAACATAGTATTGGAAACTGGCCGATCTTGGGCCGACATGTCTAGAAGCTGCGTATTAAGAGACGAGATTGCTTACGTACCGAATTCATCGGAGACAATCTTGGAGTAAGTCACGTGGCAGATAAGCTTCAGCTAAGTCGGTTAAGGCGTTACAGACACGGCCTACGAAAGCCGGCATAGTATGTTGGAAAGAGATGCCTTGATACCGTTGTCGCCGGAGCAAGTCCACGCGGCAGACCCAAAAAGTTCTGTCTCGACGTCGTAAGGTCGAATATGAGAGTCAACGGACTGACTACCGACGACGCTTCAGACCGGTCAAAATGGAGACAGATAAGCATGAAAGTGGACTCTGGCAGTAACCAAGATAATGTATAAAAGAAGGAGATGGCCTTGTAGTCGCGACGTGAAATTAAGATATTTTAAGAATAAAGATTAAAATAACAGGGGCAATCTGTCTAAGCCATGATCAGTTATATTGTTTTCCTTGATTTTAGAGTCTATAGAGTCTATATATTAAGCTACCAACTCGTTAGGCATCCCATTAAGGTTGTTACTGGAAAATATTCTTTTTAGGGTTCCGTACCCAAAGGGTAACCAATGGGACCCTATTACTAAGCCTCCGCTGCCCGTCCGTCTGTCAGCGGGCTGTGTCTCATGATCCGTAATAGGTACACAGTTGAAATTTTCACAGAATGTGTATTTCTGTTGCCGCAATAACAACAAAAGATAGAGATAGCACTCACCTTAAAATTCATAGCATATGAACAAATCAACAATAATTCTCACAGGTCCCATATTAAAAATGAGGCCAGTGTTCAGCAGCCGGAACTATGTTGGCTATAACTTGACTGCCATTCTGGCAGTTAATTGAAAAATATGTCTTTTACAAAGAGGACAGCATCATGGCAAAAAAAAATCAATATATTGTAATAATATAAAAACTTTTAGGAAAATTTACTTTGCAAATATCCGCGTTAGAAAATAAAATGATGTGTCTTACCTAGTATGAAGAGCACCCCCAGCCCTCCCTCAATTGCGTGCACTATCCCCGTCACCACTAATCCCAGCACCGCTACTCCCAACACCACTACACTAGGCAAAACACACCACTGACGATAATACGACACGTGTTTCGCTTCTACACGAGGCATCCTCAGGTGATATAGAATCTACGGTGGCTAACCGCTAAGTGAGCGGCGAGCCAAAACAAGTGTCTTTTATACAGACCGATGACGCAACTATTATATACAACCATTAACAGATTTCTGTTCTAGAGACATGTATGCCGTGGCAATACAATATACACAGGAGAGAAGATTAGTCGTCTCCTCGGTCTACATGCCGGAGGAAGACACTCCTCCCCCTCATGACCTCGGCAGGCTGGTGAACTTCTGCAAGAGGACCGGACTCCAACACGCATCATCCCCTCTGGGGAATGGAAAGACCGAATGAACGAGGAAAGGTGTTAGTTGAATATTTATTTAGCACTAACCTAACCATTTTAAACATAGGTTCTGAACCAACTTCCATAAACAAATGCTGTTGCACAGTAATCGACCTCACACTTGCAACAGAAGGAGCAACTAAATTAATTACGGGATCGCATGTGTCGAGAGAGGCCTCATGCTCAAATCATAGATGGATCTGCTTCGCACTACAAGTCGATATCCCCGCTACACCACCATGGAGATCTCCCCGCAAGACTGATAAAACAAAATACCTTAACAGGCTGACGTCTTTACTCGCGGGTTTTGAGGGGAAAAGTAAAGATTAGAAATTAATATATCGTGACTTGAGGTAAAGGATGGAGGCTGCTAATGCAAAGGAGAAGGGGAAGAGGGCTCAAATACCAATTGAAAGAAGTCAGAGAACATGTTACAGACCGTCTGGGAGTCGCTAGATTTAAGGTTGTAGTAATGCAAAGTAGACGGGATTTTAGTCTCAGTTTTACATCTCGATACATAGGTCCAAAAATGTTTTATATTTTTAGTTATATTTTCCTCTACAGTGTTCATATACCTACGATAGCACTGCTTGAATTGGAATAATTAATAAATATAATTTCCAAGTCTTTTCAGCACAACACTCCAGCTATCCTCTGAGGTAAAATATTTAGGTTTTACCTTGGAGAGCAAACTTAACTGGAATAAATATACATAGAAAACAAAATCAACAAAGCTAGTATAACTTTCTGGCAATGCAGAAACATGATTGGCAAAAGATGGGGACTGACGCCAAAAATCATACTGTGGCTTTACAAAACTGTAATTCGGTCCATGATCAGATACGGCACTCTGGTATGGTGGACCAAGACAAATAAAGCCACCACTATAAAGAAGCTTCAGCGCTACCAGAAACTGTTATGTATGGCTTAGCAGGCTGCATAAGAACTACACCAACAGCAGCCTTAGAAGCGATGTTGGGGTTAACCCCGCTTCATCTACATTTACAACAAGAAGCGACTTTAACTGCCATCAGACTCAAGACCCTAAATCTTTGGAGTAAGAATAGTGTCCCTCATACAGGCATAATTGATAGAATTCACTCAAAAATTCCTATCCTACAAGCCAATTACGATAAAATTCCTAAACAATTTGTTTTCGATAAGAAGTACAAGATACAATTAAATGAAACCAACCAGCCGGAAGGATTAAGCCCAAAAGAGCTTGGAGTTTTCACCAATGGTTCTAAAACAAAATGAAGGTGTAGGTTCTGGAACTTTCTCTGAAGACCCCAATATCAACATATGCACACCGGTACCTGGTACTGGTAATGTAAAAATTTATAATAGGAAAAAATAAAAAATATGAAGTATTAATAACATTATAAGTTTAAGTAAATACACTTTAAAAAGACCTTAATATGCTGCAGCATGAAACAGCGAATTGGACCAGTCTCAGTGACAGTAATGGTTTTCATTCCGGCCCATTCCCCAAGCACCAAGGTAACACGAGAGTGCACATTCGCTCTTGATGCCAGAAAATTAAAATAAAAAATAAAAAAATACACTTATAGTAAATTAAGATTTTTTTTAATAAAATACCGGTACCTGGGTACCTATTACACAGTCTTTCAGGCGGAATGTATGGATATTCATTTAAGCGGACATAGCAATAGATGCTAGGAAGGTTAATGAATTCCCCATCAGAATACTGACCGACAGTAGGGTGGTACTACAAGCTCTGAGTTGCAATGTGGTGAACTCAGGACTAATATATGAATGCCATCAACGATTAAATGACGTATATAAAAACAACAATGTGACTCTGCAATGGATAAAGGGGCACAGTGGATCCAGAGGCTACGATGCAGCAGACAAACTGGCCAGAAGAGGATCGGCTCTGGCCACTATAGGGCCGGAACCAATCATACCAATCCCCTTTGGTAACGTTCGTTCACTGGTACGTAGACACTTCACTAATCAACACGCTCAGCTTTGGATAAGTCTAGTAAAGTGCAGACAAGCTAGGGAGGCCCTGCCTGAAATAAACAGTTGCTTAACCAAAGTTTTAATGAGACTGAACAAGCCACAGATCAGGATAGTAACAAGTGCTATCACAGGACACGGCAACTTTAACAAACATTTATTTACTATAGGTGTTACAGATAGTCCCCTGTGCAGGGCATGTATGGGGGAGGAAGAAATGGCAGCCCACGTGCTACTGAAATGTCCGGAGGTCGCTACGTACAGGGCTAAACAGCACGCCGGGATCACTCCCCAAAGTTGCATGCAACAACAAAGGATTGTTGAGCTTCTTCGGGGAGATCTCATGGCTCAAATAATCACATTATTCCTGCCCACACGTAAAATACCCGCATAGACGTGGAGTTGCAGAAAACAGCCCGTCGTAAACTAAACTAAACTACATTTTTTAATTAAGCTACGCACTATAAATTAAAAATAGTTTTATTTGATCGGCTGAAATAATTTAATTCCTTTGCTTGTGAAAAATTACTTAGTGTTTACATATTAAACTAGTAGGTAACATGCACATACACGCGGTAATGATGAATCACTTATTTACATAACTTAAAGAGTTTTATTAGAAAAATAATGGTACGAAAAATTAAAAAAAAAATTGCATTAAAATTTATTTCTTAAGATACAGGAATAATCCAAATTTAGGAATCAGTGCAATAATTGGTTTGTCATAAGTTTTAATAACTATTATTAAAAATTAGCTTCGCCACAAATTGCCATAAAATACTTAGTAAATATTTACACAAATTTAAACTATAAAATTGTAGCTTGCCTCAATGAACTAGGTATCACAAACACAACTTCTGATTCTGACCCAAAGCCCAAAATAAATAATAAACAAATTGTCAAACTTACCCTGTGTAGTGTTTATTATTACAAATGACACTGAAAATGTTCAATTAACAAAATTCACAAATTACAATTACGTTAAGTAAAAAATTGAAAACAAATTACACTTTGTATTTTTTGTAACCAAAACTATTTTCAATTTCTGTTCAATTATGTTTATTTTCGCGCACCGCACCGCACCGCATTGACATTTGACAGTCTTTTTTTATAAACTGTGGCATAATGGCATTGGTTACAACTACAAGGTCTTTAACCAGAAAGAAACCAAATACATCAAACTTTTATAAGGCCTATTTAGATTTAAAAAAAAATAAACGATTACCAGTTCTAACTTTCTAAATTCTAATCTTACTCCGTTGAACTATTAAACAAAAATATGTAATGGTTGCAGGTGGTTCAGAACTGAGCTTTTGGCATTCTTTAAGGGAGGTCTATGTTCATCAGTGGACTTGATAAGGGCTATAATGAAAAAAGCAAAAAAAAAAACATTACGTTGTTCTATTTTGTTCTACGCGGAAATTTTATAGAATATTTTATGAATTGCCAGTGGCGTATTCACACATTTACCGCCAGTAGGCTATTGAAATTTTACCACCCCTAACGATTTCTACAATTCGATACCCTGGTTCACAATTATATTAATTACCGTCTTTTTGTTAATTAAATTGTAACTTTATGATTTATGCACTATTGTATTAATGAGGGCTAATAATTTTCTGCTCACCAGATGTCGCTAGTTGACATTGAGGTAAAGTTTTTTGTTACACAATGTAATTTAATTGAGAAGTTGTTTTTTAATAAAAGTTTATCAGTTTCTAGAGTTTTATATTAATACACAAAACAATTCGTCAGTGGTTTCAAATTTTTTGCACATTTTTAACATTTTTTTATTTTTTCTACTTTTATGAAAAATCCGTGGTTTGGTATATTTATTTTTAATCTTATTAATATAAAATATAGCCAATAGTACAGAAAGAAACAATAACTTTTACATTTTCCGAACAAATTAACTTCCCCCTCTTAACTCCCCCCCTTTACTCTAACTCTTCCCCATTAACTATGAAATCTGTCAAATATTATACCTCACTTTCTAGTGGTGCCGCCCTGGTGGCAGAAAAAGTCGTGGATGCCCTCATTGCACCACCTTTTTGCCGTAATATGAACTAGGGGATCGATGTGTCAGTTCCTAGATTGTTTTACAACCCAAAGATTTAGTTTACATTGCCCACAAGAAATAGTTTCTGAGAGCTAATAAAAGCTCAATTATGTACTACTAATAAGGCGGGGTAAGGTATAATGTTACGTTTACAGAATGTAAGGATTTATTACTACTATAATTTTTCACCCGTTTTAAGCAAGAAAAGCTTCTCTAACTCGAAAAATTTTGTCACTGGTGTACATAGAACCATACGAACTGCTGTATCAAAGATTGGTTAAAAGTAGACATTTTAATGATCCAGTATCAGTTTCCACTTAAATTCTTTCAGAAGAAAATCTCTAAATCATAAGGATAGATTTCTTTCAATTAAATGGCATTTTCCGTTATGATAACAATTCACTCATTTTGCTAAAAATTAAAACTTAGTTGAAACTGTTGTAGGTCTCCTGCCGTTTTTCTAATTCAGATACGCGTCTATCAATGAGGAAGGAAGAGAAATATGTTAGCGCTGAAAATATCACTCGTAGTTATTCTCATCTCTTCATAGGGTAGGTATTTGAACTTTTTTCATTTTCGGTTGTCTTTTGTCCATGTCTTTTGTATACCTACCTACTTTGACACACTCAATTCCATCGCCTTTTCTTCAAAATACTTAAAATATTCTTGCTCAGCTACGAAAAGCTTGCAAATAGATTTGTATAGATTGACAAAAGTGATTAAATCTCCTTTAAAATTGTTTATTATATCCGGAAAACATTCCTCACAATAACTAATACCGCCATTTTCAGTTTTTCTAAATTTAAAAGCATTCCCCGTCGCTTCGTTTCACGTTACAGGCTTTTCGGTACAATCATCCTTTATTGATTCCAAAGTTTTAAGGACTTAATACTAATAATCTCTCAAACATGCGTACTCTCTAGATGACCACCAGCGTGTCAGATTTACTCTCTTTAGCTTTTTCAGTCATTATTTTTTGCCAGCGTTGTGTCGAACTTATAAAAAAAAACCGTAGATTTGATGAAGCAACATGGAGAAATAAAAGCTTCTATGCAACATTCAGCAGCCGCAGTTGTCACTAAATTTAAAGAGTGGGCAGAGCATGGAATTAAAAAAAAATGTTTTGAGTTCCGAGATAATAGCAGAAAATGTCTCTTCAGCGTCCCTTATGAAATTTAAATCTCTTTAATTTCTGTAGGACAAAAGAAAAAGCCTCAAATTTGCCGCCTCACAAATCTGCCGGTCTAGGCTCCAGCCTACTCAGCCTGGTGGTAAATCCACCACTGAAAGTTGCTTATGTAGCTTATGATCTTATGATTAGATGCCTATAGAATTATTTCGTGTTCAGGTGTACTCGCTTCTCGGGGCGTTTTTTTTTTTTTCAAAGCGTTATTGTGTTCTATTTTTACTCGATTGAATTAATATAAATACCATAACAATGGATTGTTCTAAAGGAAAATGTCTACTTTGATAGAAGCTTATCATAACTCCCGATATGTACAGGATGCAGGAATTGAATTTCTATAGTTCGTATTTGATTTCCTAATTTTTCCTAACTTGATTAGGCACGAAATACAATATACCCGTAAATTACCAAAATACCCGAAAGGGTAAAAGTAAAGGTAAAAGAACCTTTTGAAGTGAAAACTTTTTAGGAATCGTTATGGCTTGAAACACAATTAAACGAAAAGGCGATTCTTTTTAGTATAAAAATAAAAAAACATGCATGAGCGTCGTGGAACACTCGGTTGGAACTAAGTTCCTTTATTAATAATATACTATTATTATTGATAAACGTATTATATTATTGATTAACAAATACACATACATGAAATAGGTCTTTCATGGCAAGATAAGAAAAAGTACGAGGGAGATGAGTATTATTCCATCTCGCTTCATTATAGACACCAAGGCCGTTTACACTACGCCATAAAGGGGTCGTGATGGAAAAATCTTACACTTTTTCTCGCCTAGACCCCATCCGCCAAATTCGTATCGTCCGACAAGGAATTTAATTTCAATATACATGTGATTCGAACTCACAACCTTTCGAGTTCACGGTCCGCACCCTACCATTAAGCTACTGTCGCATACTACACTGTATTCATCTCATTCTTTCGCAGGCTAAATCGTATAGATGTATACATCTATAGGATTTATTAAGTATTTATCATAAATTTAATTATATTTAAATTACATAAACCATAATTCTTAATTCCGAAACGGAATCCCGAAATGGAATTCCGAATGAATGGGCGAGCTTAAGTGAAAATGTAAGTATTGTGATTATATACTCTTTGGTGAAAATGATGAGGTCATAATATGTCAGCAGTTGTCAATGTCAGTGTCACTACTCGACGATAAACGATAAATTGGCTAAATCTAAACAAAATTTTTAACTAAAATACATATTGAAAATGGGTTTATTTGGTAAAAGTCCAGAACGAAATCCAAAAGAAATGGTATAAATATTATATTAAAATTTATGTAGAATATTTTTCATTGTGTCATTTAAAATATTGACTAACACATTTTAGGTAAACGAGTGGTCACACAAACTTCGTAAAGAAGGATATAATCTGGATAGGCAAATACGAGGTACATTTTTAAAACTTGTTCATATAGAGTTGTAAAAGGTCTCATTTACAAATATATATTATGAAAAATGACATAGGTGCTATAGAACTCTAATTTTATTATACACAATATTAAAAAAAACTAAAACTAGTAACTTAATTATCATATAGTCCTACTCTCCGCGGTATCGTGCCAAGAACTCTGGCTGCGTTTCACTGCTGAATGGCTATACTTAGCATTTGAGCGAGAAAAGAACCAGCTCCTTCATCACCAGCAGCAATGACAAACCGCGGATGGAGTTCCTTTAGGAACTTTACCGTACGAGGATCCCACGGACTGATAGTCTCTGCAGCAAATGGCATAAATATGTGGTCATTTCTCAGAGACTTAAGAATCAATATGCAGATGCGTTGTCACCCCTGAGGACTAAGATGGAATGCCTCGTTTCCAATAAAAAGGATCTCTGGTTCTTTATACTCTGTTTCATATGGTGAGTGTAATACCAGCATGTATTCTGTGAGTGTGGTCCTACTCTGCTGACCCATTATTGATACAACCATAATATAGCTGCAGTGTGGATTTACCATGTATAAAAGATTATTAATTATAAAAGGTTTATAGAAACAAACTTAATTTTAATATTACTCTGCTTTATTCAGCCATTCAAAGGGAAGAAGAAAAGATAAAACGCTCATTGAAAGAAGCAGCAGGTAAAAATGATAAGCAAGTATGTACAATACTGGCAAAGGAAATTATAAGATCAAGAAGAGCTGTGAGTAAAATGTACACAAGTAAGGCACATCTAAACTCTGTGCAAATGCAAATGAAAAATCAATTAGGTAAGAGACAAAAAAATATAGACATTACGAGGATATCCAGGTGGTGTTTAGTCCATACAAAAGTATTCCTCTGTTTTCATACTATATACTGACACCAGAGCAACTATTTTCTTATGATATTATATACTAATTGATTGACCAATTCTAAACAATATTTAATAAAAATTGGAAACCATATAAAATTACTATAATTACTGTATAAGTACAGCTAGTATTATATAAAAATAAATGAAAATATAGAGACACATACAATTTTTATTATATTTTTATTGAAAAAATTATCACATTGAACCAGTCCAGTTTTCGAGGGGGAAACAGGGGAATCTACATCTCATGGTTTTAGCAATTTTTTATAGATATAAATTAGTCTGAGTTGCAGTGGTCTATCTCTTTAATGTGAACTTTATTTACATTTTTTCATTCGTACATTCATTTATTTCAGTCTTTTAAAAGTTTGCTGCTGAACAATGCCTCCACATAGATTAACCTCATAGAGAGTTTACTTGCCATGATTATTATTTTGAGTTATTATCTTAAGATGTTACCAGGAAGATGCTGCTGCTCAACTGTTTCATTTCCCTTTTTTACCTCTTACAACACCTATTGGATGATATGAGGTAAAAGATTCTTTTATTACAATCTATATCATTCCAACTCAATAACCATTCCACTGCATATTATTTCATTATATATTATCAAATCTTTCAGTTTCTATATTTTAAATGTAAATTTTTAACTTGTTACTCTATTTCTAAATAATAAAATGTTTTTCTTTTATAATGTGTTTCAGCTACATTAAGGGTAGCAGGTTCGTTGCAGAAATCAACCGAGGTAAATTTTAAAACACTTCTTTGGATTAAATGGTTAAAATAATTGTTCCTGAATAATAATAATATTGTTTACTTCACTTACTTTCGATCATATTATACAACGTGTCCCAAAATTCAACGATAAGCCAACACCGGAGGATAGACCTGCCCCGGACTAATCGGGTAAAAAAAGAAAAAAAAAAATATCCCAATTATATTTTAAGTTATATAAAAAAAATGAAATTCTTCAGAAATTGAGACCGTTTATGATATTTTTCACTACCATGACCACAATTTTTTAAATATTTTTTCTTTTTTTTTATAGGCAACCTGAATAGTACTGCTATCTACCACAATTCTTAAAAACTCCAGAATAACTCTTGTTTTATCACGAAAATTAATGAAACTTATTTTATTCCCTAAATTTTTTGAAGACTTTTACTTTTAACCAAATTTAACTTATCGTGGTGTAAAAAAAAAGTATGAACACTAGTATGGCAAGTTTTTTTAAAAATTGACGCAACTAACCAATATTCCAAAATGGTATAATACTCTAGGAAAACAAGTTATAAAAAAATATGGGCCTATTATTTCTTAACTGGGGCCAAATTCCTTAAATTGTAATTGTCAGTAATCACTTTTACTACATGCCCAAAATGGGTTCCTGTTACAATTTCTAGGAATTCGAATGGGGCATTAATACCTTAGATGTTAGAGAGAGATAGATAGATAGAGATAATTTCTGAAGAATTTCATTTTTTTTATATAACTTAAAATATAATTGGGATATATTTTTTTTCTTTTTTTACCCGATTAGTCCGGGGCAGGTCTATCCTCCGGTGTTGGCTTATCGTTGAATTTTGGGACACGTTGTATATTAATTTATGCTAGTTTAATTATAAAAAATGTTTATGACAGGACAATGAGACATTATTTTGATCCAAAATAGAAGTTTTTGAGCAGTTGCATTTCAAAGTTAAAATAATTAAATATAAACCTCCCATAGTTCAGAAAGCTACACACTTATCTTATAAAAAAACGAAAACCCTATAAAAAACACTAATGCCTTTTTTTAAATATTGACAATCTGGGGGCACGGCAGTGCCCCCGCCAAGTTGAGCAAAAAAGTGACACGGCCATACCATCCTTTTCTCGAAGCAGTTCAGGTCATTTTCGAAACCCTATAACTTCGTTGTGCACAAAACTAGAAGCCTGAATTTTCAGTAACCAAGTAGGCATTGTATAAACTTGGTATATTTCAAATTTCATTAAATTTAAACCAGTAGTTTAAGAGCTATATCTAGTCAAAGTTTCTTAATTTTGTCACTCACTGACTGACCGATCATCAAAATTTTAAGGCACTTCTAGCAGACTTAGAAGCTTCAAATTTTTAATACATTTATTGTTTAGTACATAAAACAATGAATAGATTAACTTGGCCATCGCATGAAAACACAATGTACCTCTTAAGTAATACATATTATATTAAATTAGATTGTTGAGTGCGATGGCCATGTCAATTTATTTCTTTAAAACATAAAAGATTTTTAATATTGATATGGTCACTATAAGATATTGTTAGGTTAGCTAATTACGTAATAACTTAAGACAGAAGGACCCTTAAGTAGGGACTGAATAAATTAACCGACTTGGTATTACATGGATCTCATCTCTTTTTACGGTAGAAGAACTAAGTTGCGAGACTTGGTTCTTTTTACAAGTTATGTTTCTGATGGCATTGAAATTTACAGTTAAATTAAAAATCAGTACATTGAATCTATGCAGTAGATTAGACAGTGTTTTTTACATAATTTATACCCATACGGTATGTAAAAAACACTGTCTGATCCTTAAGCAGATAAAAGGTACCACACGACATTACCAAGTCTTTACCCCAGTTTGGTTAAAATTTTGCAAATTTTTAAAATCTGGCAACACCGACGTCGGCCACGGTATTTACTGCGTGCTTTGAACGTGTGGCGGTATTGTTACCCGACGGCCCCTCGCGCCGCATATATTGCCATGAAAGTTTCCCCATTTAATTAAATCTTATTTTTTCTTGTAGGGTAGTTAATTGTTTTATTTATGTATTCTCTGAAAAGGATTACATGAACAAAATCATATCATGAAACATAAAAGCACCGTTATCGATTGGACAGGGATTTTACATCTTATCTTGTATAAAACTTTTGTCTTTCAAATATTCAGTTTTCAAATGGTTTCTGTTTGTATATTTGATTTACAGTTTGTACTTTTCTATTAATGTTTGTAATGTGCTTATTGCAGTGCATTCATTTCATTATCCAAGCGGTAAATGCTTTTTCTTTCTTGTTATAAAATTTCAAGGGAAGTGCCTAGCCTCTGTTCTGTCATAAAATATTGCTTCATTCAACTGTCAAAAGACGACGCTGAACATAGGCCTCCACCGTAGATTGCCTCATAGGGGAAGTTTTCTGTTTCAGTTTCCTTCTGTTCTCTCCCACGACAACCATGGAATAATATGGGGCAGTGAATTTTCTTATGCTGCCATTAGACAACAAAAAACTCTGCTTAGATACTGTTAATTTAGATTTTGACATCATATCCCCAGGTGATGCAAGCAATGCAAGCTCTAGTGAAATTACCTGAAGTTGCACACACAATGCAAGAGTTGAGCAAAGAGATGATGCGTGCAGGGATCATTGAGGAGATGTTAGACGAAACTATGTCGGCTGTTGATGATGAAGAGGAAATGGAGGAGGCGGCGCAGAGTGAAGTTGATAAGGTATAACCGAAATTTACATTCATTTTCTACATGCTAGAGCCAAACTGTAGCTATATTATGGTTGTTGCATGAATGTGTTGGCTCGACCGGGGTAGGACCATGCTTTCACAGAATACCAGTGTAGAATAGCAACTTAATGCTGCTGTTTCATATGGTGAGTATAGCGAACTGTATGTACTTTTTCCTGGTAACAAATAGTTTTTTTTTATAATTGCTATTATGTCAATAAATTTATGAATATGTGGTAAAATTTTTGCTTTAAGTCTTAACTCCAAAGAGTATGGTTAAGATTTGCAGATGGGTGAGGTGACCTTATACCGCCTTATTCCAAAACACGGACTTAATATAGTACTGGAGTTAGTAATATATTTAAACCATAAACTAAGAAAAACGTTATTACAAAACGAAGATTATCTCTGGTTCAAGGATTATCTATGGTATTAAAGTTAATCTTTCGAGACCCCTAGTTTAGCTATGGTACTAACCTTTCTATATAGTTTGTGGTACTCTACTCTATACTAACCTCAATTTCGGTACTTCTTAATTTGAGGTGAGCGTTGTTTTCATTTGGTGTTATTAAAATCGTTAAAAATGGATATTAACATGATTGACTTGATGGATCTAGAAGATTTGGACATGCTAGACACTACTCGGCGACCTGATAGACATCGACATCGTGTGAATCCGTTTGAATTGAGTGACGAAGATTTTAGGTATAAGTATAGGTTCTCAAAACGTTTCGGAGAAAAAATAGTGGGTATCTTACGTGAGGATTTAGTGCACGACCCTCGAGGATGCCCATTGAGTCCTGAAATTCAAGTGGTTTGTGCATTACGCAACTGGGCTCGCCATGAAGTAAGTGCTGTTTATAATCTTGGTGGGGTCAATGTACCTAACATTACGCTAGATAAAAAGCCAGATAATACATATTATTGTTTTATTCGTAGATTCAAGACGATACAGCTGATTTACATGGTGTGTCTCAACCAGTAGTAAGTAGGACATGTAAAAAAGTAGCGGAAATTTTGTCACGGAAGTCCCGAGAATTTATTAAAATGCCTACTACTTTAAATGAACAGCAGGAAACCATTAGGAAATTTCGCAGTATTGCTAATTTTCCTACAGTAATTGGCGCAATTGACTGTACTCACATACGAGTAAAGAAAGTGAATGCTGATGGGGGTCAGTTATATATTAATAGAAAAGGATTTTCTTCAATTAATGTACAGGTAATATACAAATATTTTAAATAGCTGTGATTGTCTCTTAATAACTTTACTTTATCATAATAGAAAATAATTTGTTTGACTATCTTATGGTAATAAATATATATTAAAATAAACCAGAAAAACATAAAGTACTAATGAGCTCTTATTTTACAGGTGGTTTGTGACGCTGACCTGAAAATCATGGACATTGTTACCAGGTGGCGTGGTAGTGTACATGACTCCAGAATATTCCGAGAATGTAGACTAAAACAGAGGTTTGAGGCTGGTGCATTCTCTGGAATATTACTTGGTGACAGTGGCTATCCTTGTACCCCTTACCTATTTACACCGCTGCTGAACCCCACAACACCACAAGAAGAAAGATATAATAGGAGCCATATCCGTACCAGGAACACAGTGGAAAGATGTTTTGGTTTGTGGAAGCAACGGTTTCGTTGCCTATTAAGAGGTATGTTTGGAGATATTGAAACAGCAAAAAAAACAATTGTTGCATGTGCTGTACTACACAATATGGCCATCGACATGAGAGAAGATGTGTTTTCTGGTGAGAGAGATAGCATTGAACAATATTCATCTGAACCTATAGTACAAAGATATATTGCACCATCAATAAGGGGAAATATTAGAAGAAGACAGTTTATTGAAACTCATTTTCAGTAGGTAAACATTTTTTTTTACATATTTATATAGCTATTTATAATTAAAATTAATAATTATATTTATAAAATTGTCAATTTTTTTTCAATTGTCTAAAGCTATGTATATATAATTTATTTTATTTTGTTATTCAGAGGCCAATTTTGGCTATAAAATTACATTAAGGATCAATAAATGTATAAGACAATTATAATAATATTTCTTTTTGATTTCAGAGATAATACCCATTTATAAAGGAAAATATTTCTGCAGAGCCGTTGTCAGCTGTCAAAGAATAACGACTACATATTCACCAATATGAAATAAATTCAGGGGAGTATTGTGATAATATTTCATTTATTGAGCAAAATGCTTTTATTTAGGCTATAAATGATTGTGTTTCAGGGAAAGATGCGGGGTACAGCACATTCCACATCAATATGAAGCTATATTATATAAAGATTTAAGTGCTTTAGAGATATGTTTAGATTTTTTAATAAATATCGTCCCTCCTCTACATTCACAGCCAGATTTCCTTTCCAGAGGTGCAAGGGTCCACGGGGAGTAGGACTGTATGATGACTAAGTAATTAGGTTTAGTTTTTTTTATTATAGTTTTTTACTATTGTATATTATATTTCATTGTTATGTAAATAAAATGCATATTAATTATAATTATTTATTTTAATTATTAATAAAAGATGTACAAATATTTGCAGCAATTTAGTACCTGAAAATAATTGTTTCATATATGAGGATATTTACAAACATGTATCTGATATAGTCTCAAATATTTAGTTTTTTTTATAGGATAATGGTGATAAACACAGTCTACCACACACACACATACACACACACAGTCCATCTGATGTTAAGTAACTGCTGTGGTGCATAGACGTCCACATCTATCCTCGACTACAAATCAAAATGCAGATGCGTTGTCACCCGTGTGGAGTAAGATGGAATGCCTCGTTTCCTGTAAAAGAGGTCTCTCTCATACAAACTTTGTACAAAAATTTATCGAAAATTTGTCAATAAACAAGTTTAAATGTTTTATTAAAGAAAAATTTTATAAAAAGGTTATTATAATATCAAAGAATACATAAATGAGAATATTGGAAATACTGGAATTGAGGTGATCGCCACCATGGTGGTTCTATTAAAATTCATTTAAAAATTGTACAAATAAAATTATTGTTAAGAGAAATATGTTTATAAAAAAGTCCCGCTGGGTTTCTTACTAGTATTTAGTCTTTCAATAAGTATTCTGTAATAATCTATATTTAATAAAAATCATTCTATTCTATTCTCATTCTATAAACTCACCATAATAAACACAGCAGCATTAAGTTGCTATTTAACTTGTGTTTTTCTGACTTTCTAATAAAAATATTTGTAACTCTAATTTTCTAATTTTTAGGTTAGCTATTTTAATATTGTATTTATGTTCCTCTTCCATCATTTCCAGTTGTCTTTTTTTAAAATCTGTGTTACTTTTTACAATTGTTTGGTGTACATCTTCTCTTCTGTAAAATGAAATGGAATACTTAATGTAAGTTTTGTAGTTATTTTAGAAATTTACAAAGTATTCTAGAGTAATAAAAGTGCACTTAACCTTGTACACCAATTAAAGAAATATTTTTTAATTATTTTTAAATCAATTCATATTAAACTTTGCTTTTAATATTTGAAAACATGAAACAATTTTCAGTGTTTAAATACTAATTTTCACATTTTAAAAAGTATGTAATGTATCAGACTATGTAATTTTTTCAACATACCTATTTTGCAAGCTATTTTTCCTGTTTTTAATTTTTGTTATACCCCTAGTAATAATATCTTTATTGTTGGTTATTTTCACCATTTTGGCACTTTCTTCTGTATCTGTAGTTGGATCTATCTCTAAAAATTAATATAAATATAACAGTTTTAGAAAATTAACATTTATAATATTTACAAACTTGTATGCATATGATTGTAACTATAATAATAATATATTTTGCTTTTTAATAAATATTCAATCAGTATTATTTACCTTGCACATATACAACATTGGGTTCTGGATTTTCTACATTTTTAACTATAGCTGTGTCTGTTTTTTTCAAAATTAAGGCGAGGCTTAGGGTCAGCAACTTCTTTTGATGTTGTAGCCACAGTCACTGGATCCTAAAATAAATCATTAAAACATTTATTAACATGTTTTCCTGTCACCTGTCATCTCTATTTTGCCCTTTATTGAATCAGGTATTTTCTATGTTGTAGAAATATTATTATGATCCAAGACAAAAGGTAATTTAATAAATTATTAATTATAATACCTAATAGACAAAAATAGAAAATTATAATCGGACTGTGTAGATAATCTAGTAAAATGTGTGTTATGATATTATATAGACCACTATATATGAATTTGTGACATTTCAATTTTGAATATAATTAATTATAAAGAAATTTATGTTAAATTGTTACTAAGTATATTAAATTTTGAATATTCGGAAAATAATTTTGGATTGTAAATTGTATGCTTTAAGAGTAGATTTCAGAGCACTACTTAGGTACTAAAGTAATGGAAAATAAAGTTCTTTAATTTTAATTAAATTTGTAAGACATGTAAGTAATTTTATTTACCACTGCATCACTATCATAATTATTTACTTCAACGATAAAGTCGTGAGGGGCAATGGACATTATTTCCAAGTCCTCAAGAGAAGGTGATGGAGGTTTTCCGCCACCCCCGGTCTTTGATTGTTTCCTCCTATATGTGTATAAGTTTGATTTAGCACACAACTTCGTTCTTTTCCAAGATAATTTCAATTCACCATCTGATCGGCGTTTACCTGTTATCTCATTAAATCTAAAAAAAAATACGAAATCACGTAAACAATACCATACCTATTTGTACACATAACAAATGCGATAAGTACTTACTTATTAGTTATATTCTTCCACTCTTTTATTTTTTGAATATTTACCGATGTTTTTGTCGACTTATTCTCTATTATATGTGCTGATTGTGAAATAAGTGTACGTAATATTTCCTATAATAATAAGAACATTCCTTTTAGTTGAAATAAGGATAATAGGAGGATAAGAGTATTGCTACGTACTGACAAATTTCGATATTTCACTAACTTTTTCTTCAGAACTCCAATTTTCACCCCGTTTTTTCTTTTGTTCCATTATTATATAAATATAACTGTAATAGCAAGTACTTAATTAATTATTAATAATTTAATTTACTTATTATAAGGCTGCAATATAAACTATTTTGAACGTCTCAAATCCCGCGCTCGCGTTACCTCTGTAATTCACTACATTTCACGCTAGAGTTGTTAAACTGAAAACAACTTGATATAATCAAAAGCGCGTCAAAAGTATATGTCGTGCTTGTTCAATAGATTTTAACGTAAACAAATAACAATGTATGATATGTTTTTGTATTGATGGATAATTATTTAAGCATAATTAAATGTGAAAATAATATTAATATTTTATGAAACCGAACGTTGCATTGAATGAAACCTGTATGAACGAATGATAGAGTGTCATTTTTTGTTTTTTATCTGTGAATGATATTTAATATAATACTAACGTTGGTATTAACTGGTCCTCGGGTAGTCTGCGTTTTGTAATAAGCACACGTTTTAGTGCTGGTATTAACTAGAATATTGTAACAAACCTGGACTTCTTACTCCTAAACTTAACCCAGTACTAAAACATTTTTTTGGAATAAGACTGTTACAGTTTAAATATTAAGTCTTGCAATTAAGTGACCCTCAAAAATACATTGTAAGCAGTTATTTGGAATATAACAATTATGCCTACAAATATTATCATGTTTTTGCATTATTTTTGTTTGTTACTTTAATTTATAATAATTTATTTTAATAATAAGTAACTTTAGGACTCAAGACTGTTTGTTCTATACTAATTTATGTTATGTTCTCTGTAGGTTCTGTGGGAACTAACACAGGGCAAATTAGGCGAAGCTCCGGCTCCTCCCAGTGCGGTTGGAGTTCCTTCAACAAGCGTCGAGCCAGAAGCGGTGCCCGATGAGAACGAACTCGATGAAATGCAGTCCCGACTTGAAGCTCTGCGCTCTTAGCCGTTACTGATAAAATCTTGTAAGTATTATATACATACGTACAGAACCCGTCAGTAAATACACATTGATCTTTTGAAACAGATAATCGTCTAGTTTCTGCTTTATAGTGCGTCATTATGAGCTCTAAAACAATTACGTTTTTTTTTTAAATATAAATGCTTAAAATTAAAATAAAACATTTGTTACATAATATTTGTAAACAATTTCTCCTGACTGATTGTGTTGACTATCCACTTTTTATATTAGATGCCATAGTATAGTTTTAAATTGGGGCTTTACAACTCTGTGTATATTTGAAATAGAGTGACAAAACGTCACACAGGTACATTAGTATGTAGATTGCTGTTGAGCCTCCTAGAACTATCTAGGAGGCTCAACAGCAATCTAAGGGGAAACAGTTTAAAAACATGGAGAATAACATACGCCATGTTGTGTCGGTGTATGAAAATCCACTACCCCACGTCATTCCGTGAGTGTTGCAGAGAGAAATGAAACAAGAGCCTATCAAAGTCCACTGCTAAACATAGGCCTCTTCCACAGATCGTCTCACAGGCAATCTAGGCACAGACAGGCAGTTTCTTTATTATATTTTGAGTTGTTATCAGGAAGATGCTGTTGCCCACCTCTAGGTTTCATTTCCCTCTATCGCATCTTACGACACCTACGGCAACATATGAAGTAGTAGTTTCTTTGTATTTACCGCTAAACATAGCGACATTCTGAACACTACGAAACATCGTAAAAAGAAAATGGCCCCTGCAACTCTTGTTTATTTTGCCCTGACAAATGACTGCTCAGAAAATTCTTCATAAATATATCTAATACAATTCCAGAAATCAAGGTGCAGTCAAATCGAGATGTTCACGAAGAATGCCTTCTTATTAAAATGTAAATAATTGTTAATAATTAAGTCAACAACACATAAAAATCTACTTATTGAGTATACTTGTTGTACACAAATCTCGTTCGTGTTTGAGAAATTTACACCATATAATGTTGCTTTAAATGTTGTGATTGATTGGTCTATAAAAAAAAAAAAACAGTTTATTTCAAAGAGAGATTTTGTATCAGCAATATTACACAATTAAAATGGAACCTTATTTTTTAGCATGTTAGATCTATTTTAGATCGTATTTTAATTTATACTTTTAATTTTGGAAATAGTGTATCAAAAGGTTAAATTCACACACAATTTAAAAGCACGATGCTTAGTAACTGTTGCTTCGTTATTTAAACACTCACATTATGCAAAATAAATAAATAAAATATTTAAGTAGTCCGCTCCGTGTACAGGACTTCTGAATGTATGAGTTGTGTGTTTGAATTGAACTAAGAATCCAAATGGAAAAGTTATTTGTTATATCGAATATGGATAGTTCAGTATATAACTGCCTTTATGTAACTGCCTTTATGTTCATGCTAAAGTCTAATTTCGATTGGTTGACTGTGGGTGAATATTGTCAACTTATTTCGACCCTATTGTATGGAAATTAAAATAATTAATGTAAGAAATGAAATTTGAGATGTGTTACATCATTTGCAACAGTCTTTTGGATTCTAATTATTTTGAATTATTATTAAAAGTTAAATCTTAGGGTGTGTTTTCTATATACACTGCAAGCACTGCTCAGTGCTCTCACTGGTGAAAAATTCGTTCCGTTGTGGGCTGCCAGTATACTGCCGCAGTACCCTAGGGAAATGTATGACGTCATAAATCGCCGCCTTTCTTGTACTGTGAGCACTGGCGCTTTCGAGGTAAGGTGCTCTCAGTACTTTGATCACATGATCAAAAAACGTAAGCGCCTAGAGATTTAACGGTTTGCACGAATGATTGTTATTATTATTAATTAATATTATTATTCAAATAAACTCGGACATTAAGTTTTAAGAGCAACCACATTGAAATAATAATTTTTCTTGTTGAACAGATAACATGTACATGAATAAATATTTTAATTTGAAAACCGTGTCGAAAAATAGAGATGACAGTATCCTGGACTGCGTTCCGTTTTAAACAGTAACAAGTATAGGAAAATATAAAGAAATAGCTTCACAGTATACTGAATTGACGTCACACCTTACAGTGGTCACAATTTATATCCGAACATACCCATAACGTTCTTATTAATTTGAACCACTTAACATATTGAATTTAATAATGTGAAAGCTTCAGATCTCTTTCTGACATAATTCATATTATCAAAAAATTAACAATAAATATCAAAGGTAATTATAATTACTATTTGTTTAATGCGATTTCATATTTGATTACTAATTAATGTAAAGAACAATGGCAGACGTTCATAAAAACATTAGTTGAGAAGGAATGGTAGCGTCTATATATCAAAAATATCTTAAAATGTTAAGCGTCAGTCCCATAATAATTCTGTCTAAGAATTTTGTCCTGAGAAGGCGTCCAACAAAAGATATTTAGATTTGAACCTTTTTAGGTTGTCCTATGTCACTTGGAAAAAGTCATGCTTCCTGTGGTTGTTTGGTGTTAGCTTAATACATAATACATAATTGAGAGTTTTTAGATTATTTTATCTCTATTATATATTTGCACACTATAAATGTATATTTCTGGCATGGCTCCAGGACCTTTGTGTCATAGTGACATTCTCAGAAGGCCTAGAACCCAGAGCCAGTAAAAAAACAGTGACATTTTGTTTTAGCTAGTGTTGCCATAACAGTAAATGGAATTGTTACATAGTACTATGATTGAGATAATGTATTATTGTAGGAAGATCTTTGTAAGAGACTTATTCTCAACCATATCACTTTTATTTTTATTATTACTGATAGTATAGTTATTACTAATAATAACTTAATATAAAAATATTTTGTGTTGTGTTGGTAGTCTTACTAAGTGTATGTACGAAAATAGTATGAATATACTCTAAATGGCAACACTTGAATAGAGTAAAATGATTTAAGTCATTTGATATTCCCAAAAATGTTTTTTTTTCTGTGGCTTTAATTAAAATTCATTTTTGTTTGAAAAATCATAGAAAAATAACATAACTCATATTATATATAACTTAATTCTATACGCGATCATTTTTGTCAACTATTTCTGCCATTGTTCTTTAGTTTAAAAAAAACTTAAGAATCTAATCAATGGAAACTAGTATTCATTTGGCAATCAAGAGCATACCAAGATTGAGATGCCTGCCAAGGTGGGCAACTATGGCAAATATTCAACCTATAATGCAATCTATGCTCAGTAGTGGACTTTGATCGGCTGAAACACGGAAAATTAAAAACAAGAGAAAGTGGCGAAGCGCAAAACATGTTCTAGAACCAGTGTCGCCAAACTCGTACATTAGCAAGGAAACAAATGTGTACCGACAGTTGTACAACATATCAATAATTTTTTATCTATTTAAATACCGTATTACATATTGATTGGCTGTTAATAAAAAATAGAGAAATGCTTCTTTATTGACTACGAACTATATGATATTATAAATAGCGAACATATTTCTATTTTTATTAAAAGTTCGAGGATTGACGAGCAAATTAAGTTACTTAATGTGAGATGTCGCAATAATACCGTGATCGGTTTGAAAACGCACCATAAGGTCGTACAAATAGAGAGCATTATATATTTTCTAACCGACTTCAAAAAGGAGGAGGTACTCAATTCGACCGTAGTTTTTTATTTTTGTTACTTCATAACTTTTTTTTAGGTAAATCGGCTTTGATGATTCTTTTTTTAATTGAAAGGTGGTGCTTTTCATGTGGTCCTATATAAATTTGATCAAGGTCTATTCTTGAGATATCCTTAATAATTTAGATTGAAGTTGGTTGTACAAAATTTTTAATTTTACCACCTGTATCTATTAAAGTATGGAAATAAAATTAGTAACTTAACAAAATTTATTGGAAATTTCATTAAACGTACAACGTACCCGTAATTTATATATATTCAGTTTTGCATTCGAATATTGCATAATACATGCCGTATTACATATTTACACTAAGTAGCGCACGTTAGCTTGATGACAATATAAGCCTGCAACTGATATTCAATCAGGCAGAACTGCGCCTATTTGTGGCATGCGTGCCTTGTCCACTTTGAACTTCCTTTTGTTTTTTATATTCCGTGAATTGTAATGAATGAATGAATGAATGAATGTGCGAAACGTTTTCTGATGCATGAACAACAGTAAATTGTGTCTCAAAACATGGAGGCATGTTGAAGAAAGAAGAAAGGTAAAAAACACCTGTTGTTTTTAACTAAGATAATATTGAATTGAAAAATACGTGGTGTATCAACGATGACGTTAGAATTATTTCTTGAGTGGATTTGACGACACAGGTTTTCAGGGCGAGGGGAGGGGAGCATTAGATTTTAAAAGGGAACCGTGCCGTATTGGTCGCAAGTAAACATTAGATTTTGAAATGGGAGTATCTTCATTAATACATTTTTTTGAGTCTTGTACCTTTAAAATTTGTGTATGTGAATACGATCGTACGTAGCGGGCTAAATACCTATTGGTATTTTTAAATAAAACCAACAGATATCTTGATTAAGTATATGTATTACTTTCTTCCAATATCGTTCACTTCTTTATAAAGCATACAAGATACCTTATGCTATTAATAAACACAGAACCATATCGCGTGATAATCTGCTACTAGCGACATCTATTTTTCACAAATAAAATTACAACACTTTATATTGATTTGTTTTACATACGAATCGTGAACATTCCGCCCACCAAGGACATTATCAAAGATATGTCCTTCAATTTTAAAGTAGAGTAACAACAACAAAAATAAAACTAGTAATATCCTAAATACACAGAATTAGGCGAAATGAGAAATATAATCTTCTTAATATAACTAAATCAACACACTACTATACTACCATAAACTTAATACAATTATAAATAAGAGCAAAAAATAAATAACGCAAAAATCTTCAACTTGTTACAAAAAAACTACGATAGCAATTTCATACATTTGAGTTTACTTATTAATTTGATATAGGT